AAACATTCATTCAAAAAATTCCTAATAAATTGTTTCATCTCAAGACCATGTTTAAGCATTTCATAAGACATCTTTGATGGTCCTGAGACTTTTCCATTAGTCAATAAGGAAATATGATAATCAACTACTTCTTGTGTAATTTCATCCATTAATCCATCATAAATATTTGAATTAATATAATCTTTAGGCATATATTGTTTAACCCATTTTCCTGTCAATATTTTATCTTGATTTAATGAACTAGTAACATTTTGAAAGTGATTAATTACTTCTTTTTCTGGGTTCATCAATAAATAGCTTCTTTTATATTTAATAAGTAATATTAGAGATTTGACCATAAGTAGGTAAAGCTTGAACAGTATTTAAAGTGTAACTTTCCCTCTGTAATAAGTTTTTATCCAATTCCAAAAGTTTTGAGTAGGAATAGTAATTACTTATGGTTGAGAATAACAAATAGTGCAAGAATGGTCAATAGATAATGCAGTTGAGCATTCAATAAGATGTGTATAATGTACAGTATTCCTATGATTGCTTTTCAGTTCTTTGAATAATAACCTCTTTGTTAACACTATTATAACAATAGTTTGACATTTTGTTTATAAATAATCCATGAATTTTTACAATTTCTCTTAAATAAATATAAAAGTAATGAACAAATTCATTTCACCTGTCAAAACTATTTAGACTTTGGCTGGCTGACTTTTAAAATTGTCTTCATTTAAAATAATATGTATGGAAAAATTGTTATATGGGTGGAAATCATATAAATGAAAAAAAAATTAAAAATATAAGGGTATGAAATTGGTATATTTGGTTATTTTGGAAAGCTTCCCAAATTTTACCATTATATATATATATCAGTTATTATTTGTAACAATTTTAGGGTTAATTATAAAATTTGATTCTCTACTTAATTCTTTGAATGAATGAATTGATTCCTGTTGGACAGTAAGCTCCAGAATCTTAAATACATTGAGTGAGAAATCTATACACATCATTTTGAATTTAAAAATATCTAAATACAGAAATAATTATCATATAATTAATTAGATTAGTTAGTATGATTAATTGAATTTCTTAATTCGTCAAATTTTCTATACTAATATCCTTCCAGTAATTGCCAACTTCCTTTTTTTGAATTTCTAGATACAAATAATGCTCTCATTACTTTCTTAATAATATTGGAAGCTCTAAACTTGATATATTATTTGTGATTGAAGTCTGCCCCAATATTTAATTCACATAGTTAGTTAGGAAGGTTCTTTTTTCTTTCCTTCTCTTTCCTTATTGTTATCCGATAATGAGAGTCAACTAAAAACATTATAATTAAGAATATTGTTGCCTCAGAGCCCTTAATAATATTTTTGAATGTTGATTGATCTAAAAATACAAAGAAAATAAGATCAGCCCTGTTAATGATGAGATTGTATTGAATCTTGTATATAATTTAAAGTTGATTAATATTCAGTGGAATATTTAGCTTCAAATGAACTTCATGAGTGAATGGAATTTTTTAAGCCTGCTTCATTTCAAGTAAGGTGAACTAAATATTTTTCAATGTATGTATTTCTGTAAGCTAATAAGAATTATTATAAAAGTTGATGATTAAGTAGTAATATTAAATTAACAATGAGCATTATATAATCATCTTTCTATCATAAGCTTTGGATATATCTTGGATTAGGAATTATAGTTCTTTTTTTTCTTGCATTAGATAGATTTCATTAAAAAATTAATTTAATTACAAAAATCATTACTTTCATTAAGTTTTGATATTCATTGTCTGTTAGTCTGGCTATTTATTGAATCACGTTTGTAATGATTCTTAATCCATAAAATCTTAGTTTTTGCCCTCTTTCTCTTTATCAATTGTAAATCTTGTTCCTTTTACGTTTTTGTAAAAATCCTCCCTTTTTTGCACATCATTAAAATGTATGAAGCCATATGATCTATTTTATCTCCAAAGATTTTCTGCACTAATTCCTAAAAGTCTTTTTATATACTCATTTGAAGTATAAATCGGGATGATGCATTCTATCAGGTGCTATGTTTTCTACTCGTATATGTATAATTAAGATTTTTAAATATAATTTATAAATAATTATCTTTTGAAATAAATCTATGAGTTTTTCTATATTATAGCCTTCCTACTGAAATATATATATGATAAGTGTTTGCATATCCATCATTTAAAAAAATATATAGTACCAAATGAAAATAAAAGATATTGTGGAATACATCTTGTACTGTAATTTCTAAATGAATTTATTTTATGTTATTATCAGATAGTTTCTTGTATTACCTTGAGTAAATAAAGTTTATAATATTAAAATAAATTATTATTAGTCATATTTAATTCATACAATCCTGCATGATAAATCAATTTTTTGTTGAAAAGATTCTCAAATTATCATCATCAAGACATAAATCTATACTGTTAAATGTTTTACTCTTGGATTTCCATTTAAGAAAAATAATAAAATGATCACATGGAATTAGAGTGAAGAAGTTTTATTTTGTAAATATAGAGTCTATATTGCTATCCTTCAAGTAATCTATTGATTTTTGTTCTGCCTTGTCTTTTGATCCAATTGTTCAATCGACATTTTGGCAAAGAAAGACATGTTGATTTTAAGTAATACTGGAAAGTTCCAAAGCTAGATTTAGTAAGTTTGCTAAGGGTATAAATAACATAATTTTTTAATATATAAATATTAGGTAAAACACTATTATTTTATCAGAATATTCCTGACATCAGTTTTAGATAAAAAACATTCCAGACGTTATGATAATGTTTAATAAAATTTGAATGTTACTATAATAAATATCAACAAATAACCTCAAAATTTGAAGATTATTATGCTCAATAGGGATAATATTCTTTAAAAAATTCATTTATAATATTTAATGATGGCTGAAGGGTATAAAGTAAATTGTTAACAAATTCTCAATGTTCAACATTATGAGAACTAGCTATGTTGGAACTAGTGTATGGCATTATAGCATATCCAAATTAAATATGAAACTTTATTTCCTTGCATTCAGTCCTTGCTATTGAAATTAAAGAAATCAAAGCATTAAACACAATTATCTGATTAATTAATACTATTTATAGTCATAATTGTTCCTGACAACATCCATTATTATTCTTGGGCCTTGCTTTGCATATTAAACAATTCTTTGTTTATATTAATGTTATTGATAATTATATTTATTTAATAAAGTGAACATTATAAAAGTTAGTTTTGTTTTATTAGTTGTTTTTAAATTAGAATATATAATATATGTAAAACATTATACAGTTGACCATATAGATAAATAAGTATTTTGTAAGCAAAAAAAAAGGTAAAAAGAGGAAAGATGAAAAAAAGATTAAACAAAAAAGCAATTATTTATATTAAAATTATTTTATAAGCCTCATTTTATTGGCTTAGTAAAAATTTTTTTTACATAATCATTTTATTGGCTTTGCTATATTTTTTTTATGTAATATCAGTACAGCCACTGATAATCATTTATTATATAATAGAATGTAACAGATATTATTGTTTAAGCCTGCAAGTTTTTTATATTATAATGATACAATTTGAAATGTTTGGAATGTCTATCTATTTTTACAAAATTTAATATTTTAATATTTTGCATAAAAATTTTTTATTCAGAGAAGTTTATAGAATTAGGGTATATTATCAAGATAATTATTATAAAACAATTTGGATAAAAAAAGCAATTGTTGTTATAAAAAGCCATAAATATTATTGATTATTATCATGAAGAGCCATGATGTTGAGGCTGATCTGTTTGTATCACGTCTTGTATACAATTTTTTAAAACTACTAACAGGCTTTAAGAATAATATTGATAAAAAAAATCATGGGTTGTGACATAAATCACATAATTATATGAGAATATAATGAGAATATAAAGGATATTAACCGGTAAATTAAAATCTTTTAAATGCATTATCCCTTCAAAAATCCATCCTAGTGATGATAATTAATAATATGATTATTTTCATAATATTCAGCTGTACTGTATTAGTTTACTATATACTCCAGAAAATACACATATTCGGAAAAACCTGAACATTGCAAAAATAATGGACCACCCAATTCATTTTTACTCTTTATACACAGTCATACGCAGTCATCACATGATCGTAATTGATCGGCAGTAATTCCGGCCAAGTTATAATTTTTGCCAGAATTAATTCTCATTTGTTTAGGGGTTAAGTATTATAAACTAACTTTCTGATAGGAAAAATCTCTAGGCTATATTTGGAAAATATAGTTTTGCAGATTTTTATAGACTATATTTTATTAAGCATAACAATGTCAACGCATGATTATACATAATTTGAGTAAAAATATATATATATATTTTTTAAAGAAAGCTGAAATTTATTGAAATTAAATAAACATCATATGTGGTGATTAAGCCCTAAATTGAGCCCTGGTACAGTGGAGAGGTTTGAATCTGTGATCTATAAAATATTAGGAGTTGTATCCTATTTTAAAGAGTCTGCAATCTGTTTTGAATCCTGTATATAGATTATAGAGAACAAGAATATTATAGAATTAAATAAAAAAATTTCAGCTATATTATATAAAGCGGAAATGTAGAAATTTTATTAATTATAAAATAAATGATAATTTATATTTTATACGTATTTAAATCTAATGCTAATACGAGTTCTGTTCTTCGAAGTTCAAAGTTAAAGACACTTGATGAACTTTGTTTTTATCAAATTATGATATTTACGGATGCTGTTTCATCTTTTGAAAAATGATGCAAACAATACTAAAAGGTTTCGTCCAAAATTCAGACGAAACTAGGTTTAGTATAGCAGTTACTGCCAAACATAAAAGTAAAATCCAAACTATAGGTGCAATTCAATATGGTAAAATGACAAAATTGGCAAATGGGCGAAATGACAAAACCTAAATATGGGGATTTTGAAAAAAAAAAATTATTTCTTCTAATCAAATAAGTAAAATTAATTAGTAACTGAATTTATAATAAATTAAATTAGAATAAATTAAATTAATCATACCACGATATTCTGGATGTAAATAATATGCTTCATGATCGAATTTTTGGTAACGGCGATTGTAGATACCTATAATAGCTGTTTTTAAAGTATTGCTTGAAGGAAGGCGATTAATAGTGGCAGCAAATTTTACCATTTGAATATAGCAATCTGCTAAGGTTGCTGTTCTTGCTTCTAGTCTTAATATACAATCCTTAATTTGGTTCATAATATGAGGAATAGTTTATAACTCATAAAAAATAATTCATCATTTTTTAACAGATTTTTGAGTATTTGATATAATTTCTGGTTTTCACGCATAATCTATAATATTTAAAAATTATTTATAAATGAATAAAATAAATACCCAATCAAAAACTGGTCGTGTACGTAAAATAGAGTCAACAGAGCTAAATAAAGATCCCATTGTGTTTTGCCTCCACTGATTCTCATATTTCTTAGCCCTTCCTCTAATTCACTGATATATTAAAAAATTCAATCACCTTATTTAATTCACTAATGAATGCGGCCACGCTTGAAATTTTAGTAAAATCAGATGCAATTAAATTAATTGCATGTGCAATACATCTAATACATCTCATATCTATTAAATGTGGATAAGTATGTTTATTTTTTTTAGTATTTCACGAAGATCATCAAAATTCTTTAAAAAAACCGTTACCATTAACTTATGTAAGAAATTTCGATGAATGTAAAGAGTTATTTAATTGCAGTTTAATTCCACAACTTAAAGGAAAGATTAATTTATCATAGAAATTTTATTATAAAAATGATATCAATATCTACGATATAATATTTAGTACATGATATAATAGTACGATATTTTAGTACATGTTATTTTAGTATATGAAATAATATCAATAATAATTATGCAATTGTAGTTTATTTCAGCACGATGGAAAAAGCATGATCCTATTTTGCTTTGTTGGTAATTTATTTTTTTTTAAAAAAAACAATTATATCATTACACTTCTACAATTTCCTATTCTTTTTTGTGTTCATTTAATTATGGTATTCATTCATTTTTCGGATTTCTAGTTTTCATCAGTGTTGGAAATTTAGATTATTTTTATAAGAACATTGTTCATAAAAGTTTTGTGCGTAACCTATGAAGTCATATGCGCCATTATCGCCTATATCACATGCGCTGTACAGTGCGCTGCGCCAACTGCGCGAATCAATCATGTGAAAATTTGAAAATTTCAATTGTTACAAATTGAATTTGCGCAGTAATTACATCACACAAAATTTGCATGGCGCAACATGCCTTTGTGCCGATCACAATCAAAACGAGAAAAAAAAGAAAAAAAAAAAGCTTTTGTTTTCAAAAGGATGCATAAAACGCCTAACAAAAGACTATCTTTTCAATTAACTATTTAAACTCTCGCTGCAAACATGAACCTATTTACAAACTCCAAAAAAAAATTCTTTATAAAAAAAAATACTTTTTTTTCGATATTAAACATATTAAACAAAAACTCATTTTTTTTTTCGTAATCAATATGTCAACTATTAAAGAACAAACTAACAATTCCGATCATGTTGATTGGATAGAAAAAGTAATTGAGAAGAATTATATAACACATTTTAATTATGATGAGTTTACAAATAAACAAGAATTCGAAAATAATGTCAGTTCTATTGAAAAAATATTTAGAACAAATTGGAATATTATACAAAATAATTTATTAATTAATATAACGGATTCGGATGACATTGAAAAAATTATTGATAAATTAATAGATCATTTAATCAAATTACATGATGAATTTGGTTATGGTTTTGCAGGAGTAAAACAAATTATTGAACAAAATATTCAAGATATCAATCAACCTTTACTAGACGACATTCTTGATTGGCTTATTAAAAATCAAACATCATCTAAATATATTTTCTTTCGTGGTTTTCTTTATTTTAATGGAATTATTGTAAAGAGAAATGGAGATAAAGCATTTGCATTATTTTCAAAAGCATCAAAAGACAATTATTTTATGGCACAAGTTTATTTAGGTAAACTGTACAAAGTTCCTAAAAGAGCCTTTTATTGGTATCAAAAATCAGCAGAAAATGGAAATAAGCTTGCACAATTTTATTTGGGCATATGTTATGAAAATGGAAAAGGTGTTGAAAAGGATTGTTTTAAAGCTTTTGAATTTTATGAGAAAGCAGCAAGAAGTGGAAATAAATACGCACAATTAAGATTAGGTGGATATTATTACAATGGTAAAAGGGTTAAAAAAGATTATAGTAAATCATTTGAATGGTATATAAAATCTGCCATACAAGAAAGTAAATTTGCAGCTGAGCAAGGACATAGTTCAGCTCAATGTTATCTGGGATTATTATATGAAGTAGGAAAAGGAACTGATCAAGATTTAGAAAAATCATATTATTGGTACAAAAAAGCAGCGATGAATGGAAATAAATTCGCGCAATTAAATTTAGGATATTTTTATGAAAATGGTAGAGGAACGCAAAAAGATATGAAAAAGGCAATTGAATGGTATGAAAAATCAGCTAAACAAGATTATGGTAAAGCACAATGTCGTCTAGGATATTTATACGAAAATGGCATAGGGATTGATCAAGATTTAGGAAAAGCCATTGATTTGTATAAAAAAGCAGCTAAAAATGGTCATGTTGCCGCGTATTACTGTTTGGGTAAATGTTATCAAGATGGAATTGGTATTGAAAAAAATGAAGTTAAAGCATTTGGACATTATAAAAAATCTGCTGAAAAAGGTTATTTAAATGGATTATATAATCTTGGATACTGTTATGAGAGTGGAATTGGAACCGAAATTGATAAAGAAAAGGCGGTTGAATTGTATAAAGATGCTGCTAAAGGAGGAAATAGAGATGCACAAATAAGACTAGAAATGATTAGCTCATAAAGCTCATAATTTACATTATTTACATTCTTTAATCAGTCTAGTCATGAAAATCAACAAAACATTTGAACATTCTATTGTTTTTTTTTACTTTATAAAACTTTTAGTTATTTTGTATAATATACCATTTTTCCAAATTTTCGTACTTAATAAAGTAAAATATCATTAAATTATTATTAATATTATAGATGTGATTAATAAATAAAAATATAACTTAAAGTCATTTTCAAAATTGAATTGTATCACGTTATATAGTGAGTCTTCTTTATGCAATTCAAGATTCGTACATACACGGAATTGAAATTTGTGAGAAATACTTTTTTTTCTTTTTTTTTTAGACGGATTGGACACGTAAATCGGCAAGTCTGGACGCGCAGCGGCGCAGGAGAAATTCGAAACTTCAATAAGTTTTTTTTCCATTTTTGTAGGAAAATTGGCTCTGGCTTGGAAAAACTGACGGTAAGTTTCAAAAACATGAATTCGAAACTTTTAATAAAAAAGCTTTTTACCTTTTTTAATTCTTTTTTTGTAGGAAATCAGCTCTGCTGATGTGAGTACCAGTTTCCCAAGTGAATTTCGAAAAGGAATTTGAAACTATAAAAAAAAAGTTTTTATAACTTTTTTTCCTTTTGTAAAGAAATAGGATCTGACTTGGAAAAACCAGAATCCCAGATACCTGAGTTTCGAAAAAAAAATGGAATTCAAAAACTATAGAGTAAACAATTTTTTTTTTTAACGGGTTTCCCCTTTTTTATAGGGAAATCAGTTTTATTGTGAGCACCGGATTTTCAAGTGAGTTTAATTTAGTTTCTCAACAATTAATAACTCATCTCATATGAAATTAATATATTTTGTAAAGAAACACTGATTTTATATTTTTAATAAAGTATTTAAAGGATGATTCTAATAATATATGCTAATATTTATTTTTTTGTGCATTTACCATATATTCTTTCTGTTGATTTATCAGCAGGACCGAAATAAAAATAATTAATTGATAGTTTAAGTTACATTATGTGACTCTGAAGAACATTGCAATTTGTTTATGTTAACAGATCATGAAAAAACTAGTATGTATACTGTATTTACTATGTATTATTTATAAATAATCAAAGCACATTATAGTTTATACATTATTATATTATAATTATACATTATATAGTTTTAAAAGTTCATTCGGACATGGTCGAATTCCGATGTCTTTTCCATCTAGAAACATTGATCATAAAAAGTATTCAGTATATTCAATAAGTATATATATTTAATAAATCACAAAAGTAAAAAAGTTTAAAGATACTTACACCAATTATGGCTGACACCTTTATTATTCATTGAAAACTCATCACTTTTACCTAGAATTGTCTTCTCAACTTTATTATTCATTGAAAATTCATCTCTTCTACCTAGTATTATTCTCTCAAGAGTAGGTATTCGGTTATTTAATGAAATGTTTTCATTCTCGAGTCTTGCTACAGCTTCTCGTAAAATTTTATTTTGATTAATTACATTTCTAGTTCGAGGATTACATCACCGTCGTCCTCATTTTGTACAAATTCCTTCTTGGTGTGAAGGTGATGTAAAATCGTTATCCATTGCGCGTTTTTTTGTTGATTTTCAGTTACCGAAGAATATTCCTTTATAACAATATACAGAATATTTACTATTAATATTCTATTTTAAAGCTTTACATAAGTCAGACAAAACTTTTTCATTTACCCTAATTAATTTTTCCCAGTATGTTTTTAGTCCTTGTCCTCTTCGTTCAATTTTTATCTATTGTAATATACAGTAATGCAAATTTTTTATTTTTATTGATAAAGAAGGTACATAATTGGTCCCTCGTTTAAAATCAATAGTCCTTTATCAATGTCTAAGTTTGGGCGACTGGGTTAAGAACACCTGGAGTGGTTACTAGTATCAAAAACCTAGGGAGTTACCCCACTTTGCAAAAAATAAAAAAAAAGCACTTTGTTTTTCATGCCGGTAAGTCTCGTTGCTTCTTTTCAGAATCTATTGGACCAAAGTCGATCGAAATACTCCCAATTCTTTATTTCTTTTGTTGTAAAAAATATCATGTTTCTGTTTAATTTCAAGAAACCTCGATATGACTTATTACTCTGAATTTTTAAGTACGTAACGAGTTCTACGGCAATAAATTAAATACAGTATTTAGTTAGAAATGGAATAAACTCACTTTTAAAGTCATACCGAACTTACCATTATATTTTATTTGAGTTGACACTAGTCCACCCTTTCTCGCGAGACTTCTGATGTTTACTTTGTTATCTTGAAAGACCTTACGACGCTTGATACCGCCTCTCCCAACTCTTTCTATATTTTGACATTTTTAACTCGTTTTATAAACGAAAAAATTCTGAAAATGTTTAGGTTTAATGTAAAGCGACATAAAGATGTAATGATGTAACTATTTAAATTTATTAAAAAGCTTGATTTGCGACATAATGATGTAATGATGTACGTCGTGGTAGTACGGTACTACAAAGTAATATAGATAATAGAGTACAGTATAACGTTTATGATACATTTTTTTATGCTACACTTCATATTTAGTGCCAAATAGTCTAAATAGTTTATCAGTCTTTCGTGGTATAAACTAGTTATTTCACGGAAGCCGCAGATATTATTGATAATCACGGCGGATTGGCGGAACTGTGCAATGATCAATGATATCTTATGAAATAACTAATTTTTTTAAGACTTTCCTTTAAAGGCTACGGCCTACGGCTAAAGTGTAGCCTATAAATTTAATTTCATAAGCTAACTGCTTTAATTATAATATTATAAACAATCTTTATAGTACAAATAGGATCATGATTATTATTGATATTTTTTCGTATATTAAATAATATGTAAAAGTGTCACGTTAACATACACAATTTATTATTATTGCTGAAATATTTGTAATCAAATATATATATATACATACTGGCATGTTCGCTTAACACATATGTTAAAACAAAGAAAATTACATCATATTATAATAGAAAAATCATATTTTTTAAGTTTTCAAAAATATTGCACAGATAAGTTCTTAATCAAACTAATAAAATTTGTTTTAATTTTTTATTTTGCAACTTTACTCTTGTAAAAGAACATATTTATTAAATTTTCAGTCAAAAATTAAGTTAGTACAACATTAGAATTAGTCCAGAATTAATATAAAAATTTAAAAATTTTATATTTATTATCTTATCGACCAGTTTTATACAGGACAGAATTAAGAAATTGTTTGTCAAAAGTACAGCTAGAATTATGCTAGATTTTGCCCAGAATATGCTTTATAATTGGCTAGAATTAGCAGTACAATCTCATAACCATGTAAGTTAGCCTGGTCGAAAATAAATTTTTTTCAAGACGGTTAGATCCTATACCTCGAGATTTAAAAATTTTAATTCCGCCCCTAAATTTAAATTTCGATAAAAAAATTTCGAAATTATTGACGCGAATTACATATTATTAGTAATCACATTGTCTCAAAAACTATAAAAGAATGTTCAATTTCGTTTACATATTTACTATAAACAGCGTGTAATGAAACAAACTAAAACACTGCGTACAAATTATTGATGGAAAAAATAATGATTTATTTATTAATAACAATTATAACATTGTTTTAAAACATTTGAATTTACAAAGACTATTTGCTACTAGTGAATCCGGTTGCCATTTTTTGGAGGCGGACGCTAGCATTAAATGACAAATGACCATCATAATTCTGGCCAAAATTAGCTATGTATTTTCAGGATAAAATTATATCACGTGATAATATGAATTTGTAATTCTAGCCGGCATCATAAATTTGGCCTGAATTAATTCTAAATGACTCAAATGACAAATGACTCGAATGACTAAGTCATTCGAAGGTCATTCAGGGTTCATTTCAAAATGGCCAAATGATATCATTGAAAAGTAGTGGTTAAATTACAAAATCTAGTATATAAGAAATATAGGTTCAGTTTCTGGGATGAGCAGAATAATCGGACATCCGGATATGGCGTCGTCAAACGTATAAGTATATAGTCCTTCATTAAACTTCAGACTAAAAATAAAAATTTTTTTATTTTCTGATTTAAAACTACGGTTAACACATAATACAAAAAACGTCATGGCATTCATAGTCATGACAAGATATAAGTAGTACAATATTGTATGACTTTTTTTTTATTAGTAACTTCATCTTTCGATTCATGATTGGTGTTTGATGTCTTAAATCATTTTTTAAAAATATTTAAAATTTCGGAAAAATAATTAAAACTTTTTTTTAAAAAAACTAATTTTTTGATAATTTGGCAAATGAAATGCACTTAGATCAAATTATTAAACTATCAAAGTTTTTACTAGTAAATGACTGCCGCAATTTATCGAGTTGTTTTTTGAAACCAATTCAAAATATATGAAAATGATGATGATCTTATAAAATGAGTAAAATTCTCTAACTATCCTAACAACCCTATTCTTAACAACACTAATCCTAAGCCCTATAAATTTTGCTGCACCACCAAGAATGAACTAGTATGTCGTCGTCATTTTAATAAAATATCTTTGATATATAATTAATAATTATTTGTTTATAATATTATGCAATATAGATCCTTATTAATCGGAACTTTAACCGACTATTTGCCGATTTACTGTAGCTAACTTTTTACAATTTCATATGTGCTAAAATTGGCATTTGATTTATTTATTGATACGGAAGAAAAAAATATTTTATAAAGCATTCTTTACTTAAAAATTCTATTGTTACTTTTTTTTTATGCATAGAATTAGCTTATCTATGTAAAATGTAATTGTATCACAGTTTTTCGAATCATTGAATAATAGAATTTTTACAATTATTTAGTCATTTCGGTGAATCCGAATTACGTACCGCTTTTGGTAAGACTCTAAATCATATCTGACGCATATTGTCGATCCGAATAGGAATTGACTAAATGACTTGATATACTGTACATCACTCAGATTTTTATGAATTTCTATTAAAGAAGTGATTTTCTTTATTAGGTAAGTTTTATAAAAAAAAAATTATAGATTTTACGTTCCAAAATTCTTAAATTTGAAACTTCAGAACAAGTTTTTATGTTTATTTGAAATTGTACAAATTATTTACTATCATAAATTATATTATAATATATCGGACATGTATCCGTCCCTTTATTTAATTTAGTTTATTATGTTCTATTGTGATTAACTCTTATTAGTGGAAAGTAGTCCAATTAACAAATTATTCATTTTTAACAATATTTTTTTTTTTTTTTTTTTTTTTGAAAAACTGAAAATTTGTACGATAAATCTGATATAATTAAAAAAACTTTTTAATCTTTGTAAGTTCTAAAATTGGTAAGGTTACCGTTTGTTTGTTGTACTTCGTTATTGGCGCTTCGCAATAAGATAAACAATCGTGTTCTTTGCATCAGGGGTTCAGGACTCAGATACAGATGATCGACAAATCGAATTTTCATACTTATTAGTATACGAATTTTGATTATAGGAAAGTTGTCACATAATTTATCACAAAATTTGCTGTTTTCAAAAATTTATTTTTTGAATTTTGATACAAGATAGGAAAATATTACAATAATAAAACTTCAAAATTTAAAAATTTGTACGCTTTAAAAATAAAAAAAAAAAAAGATCCTTGCAATTCTCGTTATTATCGACTTGATAAAATATTCTCACATTTTTTTTTTGTATACTTAAAGATCAGGGATAGATCGTCACTCAATAGCCATTTTTGGCGTAAATCGGCATTATTAAATTTTTCGGGTTGAGCTTAAAATTATTCTCAGTTTGACAGGAAAGTATTATAATAATTCGGGATGTTGATTAACCGAATAAATTATTTTGCATTTTAAAATCAATATAAATAAGCGATGTTTCCCTTTATTGATTCGATTCAATATAAATTAAACATCAAAATGATCAATAAAAATCTTATTTTCTTATTACTGATACCCGTCCTATTATTAAATCAAGTCCACGTTAATGCTGTGGCACAAGATTATTTTCTTAGAAATATTGATATAGAACGTTCGCCTAAAAATATTTTGATCGGTTCTTACATTGGAGGAAGAAGCCATCTTAAACCAATGTTAGATGTCGCTATTATATTGATTGAAAGAGGTCACAACGTAAGAGTTTTTTCTTTTATTCTACGTGATACTGGTTTGATCGTCGGTCTAAGTTTCTCCTATTTATATTCTCGATTCATAGGTAATATTATTAACATCAGGAAAATATGAACCGTCATCGGAATATCCAGGTCTAAAACAAATCTCATCGGGACCTCAGTATGTGACTGCCAAAAGTAGAAATATTCATAAAGACGTCGATTATAGATCATTGGCACATCTTATGGAAATAACTACGGCTTCCTACAATGTAACTTATGAAAAATTTAAGAATGCTGCTAAAGAAAACAATATTGATTTATTCATTTGTGACCCTATTGCAAACCATGTTTGCATAGATGCTGCTAATAATCTAAATAAACCTGTTGTTGGTTTTACTTCCTCATTTATGCAAAGTAATTATAAATAATCATATTCCTCTTATTTTTTTTTAATAACAAAACTCACTTAACGAAAAAAAATCTTTTGTTTAGTGATGGATCCTAAACCATATAAATCTGATCCGATGTTCGGCTGTAATATTTCATTAGAAAATGAATCATTTTTTGAGAGGTTTAGGTGTACTTTAATACAACCTTTACAAATAACTTATGCTTATAGACCTTTTACGCGTCAATTAAATGACATAAGAGAACAAATGAATATAAAATCGGTATCGGGAAAAGTGCCAAAAGTTACCTTAGCTTTGATTAATATTTTCTTCGGTTTTGAGGTATTTTATATTTTAATAATTAGTTAAACAAACTAGATAAAATTATCTCATAAAAATAATAACCTTTTTTTTTTTATCTTAAAGTTACCACAATCTTTGGCACCAAATGTTCAGGTAATTAATGATCCGTACGTTAAATCCGTTCGATGGATAATGATTCACTAAATTCCTTGGACTTATCTTAAACTGACGGTAGATACTTCCACGACGGATTGTACAATATATGAAGTTTAACAAAAATTATAAAAGATTAATTTTCTTCATTCTTCAAATTAATAGGTAATTGGACCAGTATTATCAGAAGAATATCCCTCACTTACGCCTGAACTCTCGGATTTTATAAATGGACACAAACGAGTTTTATACATAGCTTTTGGTACACGTTTTTACGCAACTATCGAAAATAACAACAAAATTTTACAATCAATTGTTGAAACAATCAACAATAAAATATTTGATGGTGTAATTTGGGCATTATCTGAGACATCAAAAGATGACTTCAGTCCATCATTAAACTTTGCTGATGGTACACAAGTTCAAACTTTACCAATCTTAAATAATATACATCCACATATTCATATTACAAAGTTTGCACCACAATTCGCTGTACTTAGTCACACCAATACGAAATTATTTTTTAGCCATGGAGGCGCATTAAGTTCTCATGAATCCCTTTATACTGGTACTCCTATGTTAATATTGCCTTTTAGTGTTGATCAGATGGGTAACGCTCAAAGATTAAAATCAGCCGGTGTAGCATTAACAGTAAATAAAAATACTTTGGATGTCAATGATATTTTGAATAAAATCGATTTCTTATTAAAAGATGAGCATATAAAGAAGAATTCAAAGAGAATGAAATATTTAGCCAGAATTAATAGTAATAGAAAATATAGAGCAGCCGATTTAATTGAATATATGTTATATAGTATTAGTTTAGATGAATATTTGGATGATGACTTTTTCAAAGAATGGATTCCTGCTGAGTCTAGAATGGGATTTATTAAAGCAAATAATCTTGACGTTTATGGAGTTTTATTATTAATTATCATTCTTGTACTTATTGGAATTGTATTCATATTGATTAAATATATTTCAAATCCTTTATCTGATAGAAAAAAATCAAAGCAAGCATAGTTTCGCTTTAAATATAAAAATATATACACGATACATTTTTTTTTTTTTTTTTTTTTTGATGATTATCAAAATCTTTAAGAAATAGGACCGTGTTTAACTATAATTTTAATCTTTTTATTCAAATAAGCATTTTTAGAAGGTTAAATTTTTATTTAACTACTTAAACGTTATGACAAAACAAATTGAACTGTCCATCAATTTCTAATTAACTAAATAAAAGAAAAATTTTTATTTTAATTGGAAGAACTACGTATTAGATTACAGTCACCATTGGTTAACGAACCTATTTGTACCGAAATCTCGTTATAAGCGTACCGAACTAGAATTTCCATAACCGACTTTTTATAAATAATTTCACCGGATATAATGAACTTTTATAATAAAACACTATATAATGCATCCTAACTGAACTTTAACCAGCTCCCATATATTAGTTATAATTCTGGCCAGCATCAGAAATTTGCCCTAAATTATCCGGAAGTTTGGTAAATTATATAACGAATAAATAAATGTATTAAAATTTGCTGTTTTCAAATTCATCCGATCGAATCTTAGTCATTCAATAGGATTTGCATTTATCTGTCGGATTTTTGAGGGATCCCGTGAATTACGGGTATCCATTTTACCGACATCCAATGACGTACATGAAAATTACCCGACTCCATTTTGTTGAATTACCATTTTACCGAAAAATTACGTAGTCCAGTAGTAGCAGATTGGTAGTACAAGAATATTGTTGATTGGCCGCATAAAACAAGGCAACGATGATGTTATCTATTGCCTAGGAACTCTTTTTTGGGAAAAATTACGTTTGTGCCTGCTTCTTAGAACGCGTAATTATACTTGATTATCGATAATATTACAGAATATTAATATTTTGTATCCTGAGAAAATAGCACGATGTCAACAATCGCAATTACTTTTTACTGGATAAATTTAGAAAGCCTTAGGTAAGTTGGCCAAAGACTGGAGGGTAGAAACTCAGAAGGACCTTGCCTATCCTGCCTCCTGTCAATACAGAACAAGCAATATAGTTATATAATTAATTGTATGAGAACACGTTTATTAAATTTTTTATTCCATATTTCTCGTTTTGTACAGTCACATTTAACCGTGTATTTCAACCAAGAACAACAATAGAAGTAGAATAATTAAAAATTGAAGAACCTGTGTTTCATATTATTCCACATATTCTTCAATAATCAACCTCTATTTTTAAAAAGTTATAGCAACGTTCATTATGATGTTGATTACAAAACAGAAAATTCTTTGATACGTCATCTAACAACCAGATCTAATATTTCGTGATCCATAATTTTAACAACGTTACAATACATTACAATGAATGTGGATATAAACGATAATTAAAGACCTAAATTTTATTCACCATATGAATAAGAAATACAATTATTTTCGATGATCGTTCGCAACTATTACTACTATTGTTGAACATTCATTATACACAACTAGATCAATCAACTGATATCTTTTGATTGAGGGCATCAATTATTTTTTCACTAATTCTTTTCTTTTTTTTTTGCACAAATAAATCCAAGTTTTCGTTATTTAATAAATAATTTTACTAAAAAAAGCACGTTACTGTATATGTGTAAAACAATTGTCCTTATCGTTCGGTTCAATACTTTTTTGTTTATTTAATAAATAATATACCAACAGTTAAATCACGTTTTATGTTGAAGCAGCTATATAGTGTGATTAAGATTTATGGTCACTTTTTCATTTGAATTGTTTTGTATTACAAAAAAAATAATCTGTTGATGTACAATTCTGATTGATAAATTCTTGTTTTATACTGAAAGGTTTTTTTGCCAATGTTGTACATAACGTGATATGTTGCCCTGTAAAAAAAGTCGATCCGTTTTTTACATTCCATCCTTTTTCCGTAAAAGGTTCATATTTCCGGAATTAATAACCTTATATCACGGAATTTATCAAATTATTTACATTTTCCGTGAATGGATCCATGAAAGGTTCATTTTTACGGAGTTTTTACAGAAATAACGGATAAAATTTTTTATAGGTATTGTTGTCCTTTAAAAAATATCTACGATGATGGAAAATTCTTCTAAATAAGTATAACAAATTTTTTCTTTTCTAGTTTCATGGTAACAAGAAGAATTGATTCGACATGTAAAATATTTTATACTAATAATATCGATTTTTTTTAAGCTAACCGCGTTCAAAGGACTTTGAGGTTGAGTATTATCTATTTCAAACATTTGATATTAATCGATATCCATCCATTGATTCATCAAGAGAAGTAAAACTTCTGGACCAGGATTCTAAGATAGATTTACTATGCACAGCGGCGTTCTGGGGTCGGTAAGATTCTGTGCGGTTTACTTTATCTCTTCTTCTATAACCATTTCATATGTTAATAAGTAAAAAATAATAATTTTGGTGAATTTTTATTAACGTGAATCAAGAAAGAAAACATGAATTATTCAAATAATTTCCAGTAACATAACATAATGTACAGTATATTACCTTACGAGTAAATTAAGGCACCGTAATTATTACAGACTTACTACGTGTTATTATTATTTTTATGGAAAGTTAAGTTTGACCGCTAGGTATAATGTATATTAAAACACGTTTATCAAAAAAAGTGTTATATGGGTGTAGAAAAATTCTGAGCGAACAAGTTCTGTGAAAACTTTAGCTTCATTGCCATTTTTTACGCGAAATCCAAAACGAAGGACGGATTGATTCATGAATTCGTTTTATTATAATACAAGATGAAGATCATACGTATGCTGAGGTTAATAGAAAAAGAAATTATTCGCTCTATATTAGGGGAAAAAGGGAATCAATTCTATGGTTTGATTACTTTGATTGACGAACTATAACTATTTTGGATTAAAATTTGAAAAAATGAAAATATATTAATAATTTTATTATATTGATTATAAAATTTCGGCACCCAAGTTTGTGTCGGTCATCACCATATAAGGAACGTGTGGCATTTAAGTGTCACTGATCACGTGTAGCCACGAGTTCAAAATACTAAGTATCTGAGGGACAGAATTATTTTAGTGCCAATTTGTCACCCCTGTAACACAAAAAACCACGCCCGCAAAACCGGGTGCAAACAAACGATTCTCTGACATATTCGTGGCGCAGCAATCTTGATGGCCGGATTTTATATCTTTTTGTACAATTTTTTATTTTGTGTTTTATCTTTATATTCATGTTATTTTATATATACATATTTTTATATTATAATAATGTATTAACATTTTGTGCAAGTGCCAAAAATATTTATATTTTTAAGATTTCAAAAATTAAAACTTCTTATAAAATTCAGATAAAATTCATAGTACTGAAAGAAATTAAAATTTATTTTTTTTCACACGTTATATTAGTAATATAAATAAAAAAAATGCCATGAATTTAATTAAATAAAGATTAGAATTTGATTAAGTTAATGATACCAATTTTATTTATTGAAACCGATCTACAAAAAAGAATATATATATATATGTTCTGTCCAGATTCGGTATCTATCCTCTAAGTCGGATAATCCGAATAAAAAACCGTACAATTTTTTTTTAGTTTAGACGGACAACGGTTTCTATCCGGATCGAAAATAAAATTCAGAAAAGTTCTTATTTTTACATTATTAGATAAATTTAAATTCTTTGTTATATAATCAACTAATATTTTTTCTAAAAACTAGTGTACTTTTGGATATAGTGAGTGAGTTTTATACTAATACTACTAATAAATTAATAAAAGATTTTTTTATAACAATAGATTGTGTTTAGTGAGATTTATAAAAAATTTAATGAGATTTCTTTTTAGTAATAGTTTGGTATAAAAAAATTTTCTGGGATTTTTTTTTAATAACAATATGTTGATAGTAGACAATTAACTTGTTAATAATTGTTTTTTAGTAAGATTTTTTTATAGTTCACAGTAACACTAATATTACTAGTAAGTAATATAAATGAAAGATTTTTATAACAATAGATTACATTTAATAAGGTTAATAAAAAAATTTTCTGAGATTTATTTTAATAACAATAGGTATGATAAATTTTTGGTGATTATTTTTTTTAGTAACAATAGATTGGTAATAGACAATAAAAAATGTTGTGAAAACATTAAAAACT